GTCATTGGGTAGTGCCATAGCAGCAGTAGCTGGTCCTCTTGTGAAGACGCCCTGGCCTACGCCAAAAAGTAGGGGCGCAGGTGGCTTCCACAGGACACTGGAAGGGGCAGTAGCTGTGGCCTTTTGGTAGGATCCCAATTCGTCGGTCATCCGACGTGACGTCGAGAGTGAAACCAGATCATTTATATTATGTAAATAATTCTTATATAGTTTATAAAGATCATTTTCACAATTTTTTCTGTTGCACTCTGTATATTTCTCACTCATTTTGTGTGTAGCTTGTATTTTTGTTGCAGAAAACAATTTGTGCAATTGTTTTCACTAAATAGCTGCACGGTTTGTGTTTGTTGTTGTTCATACTCAGATTGAAAATATATTTTTCTGAAAAAAAGTCACTTTTTTAATGTGTTTTGTTATTATATAACACTGATTACATTTTTTTTACCCCCTAAACGTTTTTTGGACACATCTATATTGTTAGTAAACTAAATAAACCTGTTTTTCACTAAAAAGCGCATATGACAATATTGTAATAAATGGCTATAACTTGCTTGGGGAATGTTATATGTAGACAAAAGTTTATTTGGAAGTGTAAAACACCCAGATTAAATTAGTAAAATTAAAGTATTAAATTAAAGTAGTTAAGCTATGTTCAAGCTACCCTTCTGAAAAAGTAGCTAGCTACATTGAAACTACTTTAAATTTTACAGCAGGGGTGTAAAAATACTCAAAAATTATACTCAAGTGAAAGTACAAGTATCTGGCCAAAAACATACTTGAGTAAAAGTAAAAAAAAAATAAAAGTACAATTTAAAGTTGCCTTTTTTTTTCTTAAGTATTAAGTACAATTTACATGTCGCCAGGTGCACAGTGTGGCCATCACATTGGAGTGTCGCCACACATTAAGCCCTCAGAAGGACCTTTTTTTAGTGATGTTACGCCTGATACGAGGCTTTCGAAGCTTGTGTCAAGAACGTCAGATACTTTCAGCTAGAACTTCGTATCAAGGCTTGTATTGTTTTAGTGAAGTGACGTTCAAAGCCTCGTTTGATTGCAGCGCTTCAAAAATAGGTTCGCTTTTGGTGGAATCGACTTCACGCCTGAAGACAGTGGAAGAATATTGTTTTTAAACTTACAATTTCACTGTCTTCTGTCCAGTCCACATGAATCACTTTCAGTCTCTTTTATCCAGTATAAATTTCCCTGTTCAACAAAAATACTGATAAAACAGGTAAAGTCCTAACTAAAATTACCATGGTTACAAAACAGATAAGATAAGATTTTAAAGTTAGGATCTTTCTGTAATACGCCCCCAGATCATTTTTAGGATAAAAAAAAAAAAAAAAAAAAAAAAGACCGGTTTAAAAAAGGTTTTCAAGAACTTTAAGTACTTCTTCGATACCACAGCAACAACTAGTAGCACACCTAAATAACTAATTAGGTTCAAACATTATTAAAGACAACTGAACAGTCAGTAAAATAAATAAATTAAAAATAAAAACACACATTATGAGCATTGATAAATACAATAGAACAAATTTCCAAATAAAGTAAGGTCTAACATTAGTTTTCAGGTACAGAAACATAATTAACTGCAAAATTGTATTGCATATTGTTCACTGTATAAAATAAATAGCTATATCTTTGTTAAAGATGTGTCACTGTATAAAACATTACTTTAATCATTAATCTTAAAGGAGAGATATGACAGTAATCAGGCAACAATTCAGTTTTAAAATGGATCTACTCACTGTGTTAATGAAGCTTTCTTGTTCAATTGACTTGAAACTCTTGCAGACAAATAGATCAACAGGTGTTTTATACTGAGGGCAACACCCTTATTATGGCCATGTGATTTATAGGAAAATAGGTCATTTATGCACATGGTCACATACAGAGATAAGGGACCCATAAAGGACTCAGCTAAACAACAAAGCAACAAAAAAACAGTTCAAAGTTTAATGGCATTTGTAGAACTATTGAATTCCTCTCTATCTGATTGATCGATTATTAACTTTGTGCATAAATCAAAGGTGACATTTGATTTTAGTTTTTAGATGTTCTGAAATTTTAGCAGTTGTGTATTGGCAAGAACAGTTCACAATGAAAGAGTAAAACAAATGTTGCTTAAAAGCAAACAATCAACACACAGTATAAACACTATAACTATTATGATACTAAAAGCAGCACAGCTTCGGCCATATAAACCAGAGGCCAGAGTTTCTTTGCACTAGAGCAACTCTAACAATAAACTCATTTCTATACACTAGATTTTTTGTTTTGCCCTCCAGTGTGTAACGTAGGAGGTGTGACAATGGAGTGGGGATCCATTTGCAGGCTTTATTACAAGAGAGCGAGGTCAAAACAGGCAGGGTCCAGAAACAACAAACAGTAACAGCAGAGACAAGGCAAAAGAATAATCCAAATAAACAAGCGATGGTCAGGGCAGGCAGCAAACGAACAAAAACAAGGAAATAGTCCAGGATCAAAACACAATAATCAGGAAACACGGAAGGCAAGACAACGGGAGGCTAAACATTCAATCACCAGCAAAGTCAGAGGCTGCGTCTGAAATGGCATATACTCAATCAGTACGTTTACATGGACAACAATACTCCGATTTTAATACGATTATGACAATACTCTGATTAAGAATCTACCATGTAAACAGATATTTTTGATTACCTTAATGTCATAATCGAAGTAAACACTAATCAAATTAAGACATGTGGAGTATTCCTATTTTAGATGCATTATTGAAGTGCAGTAAAAACATGTACACACCTTAATCAAATTATTACCGTTGTGTAGGACTTTTCGCATTTTGCGACAGGATACACACACGGCAGTGGTCAACCGTTTGAAGGCAAACAAAAGAATGCCTTCAACAACGCCGTCGTCTGTTTGCATGTATAGCATGACAAATA